AATTAAATATGCTTCTTCTCGTGGAACTGGGCACACTGACAGCCTTAACTTAAAAGGAGCCGGGGCGGGGGTGGGGGGGAACAGGAGAAAAATAAATCATTTTGTTTGTAACTTTCTTTTGTTGAGATTATCTGAACTTTGATCATAAATTTTTTAGTCTCTGGTACCTCAGACCTTTCCAAAAGGTATTTTCGGCCAGGTGTGATAGCATACTCCTGTAATCTCAGCTAGCATTTAGGAGGCTGAGGCAGGAAGAATTGCCATGAGTTCAATAACTGACTAGGTTATGCAATCAGGTCAAGGCCAAGCTATATGGTGAGACCTTGTCTCAAAGAAAAAGAGAAAGAGAAAAAGAAAGAAGAGGACGAAAGGAAGGAAAGAAGGGAAGACAGAAAGAAGAGGGAAGGAAGGAGGGAGACTTGCCAAAAACATGTAAGGAAAACACTCAAGGATGTTAGTGTGGACAGAGTTTGGGTTTCTTTTTTTGTTTGTTGTTGTTGTTTTAATATGAACTCAAAAGCACAGGCAACAAAATCAAAAATTAACAAACAGGATTAGCAAATGAGACAACTAACAGAGAGAGATAAGACAGCAAACACCTAATGAAAGAAAATATTTTCAAATTCTACTATGTTGGAGGGTGGAGAAGAGAGGAATTCAATTAGAAAAATGAGCAAATGACAGTAGAGGGTGGGTGTGGATATTAGACAAGGTGACTGGGGAAAAAGAAGGGGTTGGGAACAAATGAGAATGTATACATTTCTCAAAAGAGAATGTACACATATGAAGGATATGAAGATGCTCGGTATCAGTACTCTTCAGATAAATTCAATCATGACACCATGAGATATCTCACCTCAGTTGGAATGATTCTTATCAAAATGATCCAAAGTAAAAAATGTTAGTGAAGATGCAAAGGAAAACTCATACACTCTTGGTGAGAATGTAAATTAGGACATTCATTGTGGCAAACTGTATGTAGGTTCCTCAGAAACCTAAAAACAGAGCTACCACATGATCCAGCAATCCCACTACTGGGTACGTATCCAAAGAAACTGAAATCAGTATGTCAGAGAGATATCTGCATTTGTCCATTTGTGATAGTACTATTCACAATAGCCAGATCTGGAATCACCGAGGTGTCCATCCATGAATGCATGGATGAAGAAGATACGGTATTGAAACACAGGGGAATCTTACCCATAAACAAGGATGAATTCCTGTCATTTGCAGCAACATAAATAGAACGAGGAAAGTGAGTTAAGCAGACATCGAGAGACAAATCTTCCATGTGCTCACTAACACGTGAATGCTAAAAATTGATCTCAGAGAAGTAGACACTGAAGTAGTAGCTACCCAGGGTTCGAAAGAGGCTGAGGAAGGAAACCAGAGAGAGGATAGTTAACAGGTACAGGAGTATAGGTAAGAGGAATAACAAAGTTCTATAGCTCAGTAGGCAGGAGAACTGTGGTTGACAATCATTAGTTGAATATTTGAAGATAGTGGAAGGGGTTTTGAATATTCTTAACACAAAGAAATGATAAATGAGGTGATAATTGATAAATCAGATGACTTATCCTGATCTAATCATTGCATATTTTTTGAGTGTATTTTTTTTAAGACAATATCTTGCTATGTAGCCCAGGCTGGGCTCAAACTCTTAGTGATTCTCCTGTCTCACCCTTCCTAGTGCTGGGACTATAGGCATGCACCATCATGCCCAGTTTCTGTGGATGTATTTAAATATCACGCCATGCTATCTAAATATCCACAAGTACCATATGTCAATTAAAAATAAAATATCTTCTAGCGTGATTTACAGATACCCTTCCTAATACTTTGCTTTTCCTTGCACTCCAGTTTTAATTAACAGCTTAAATTTCATAGTTGTTCTTGGGGAAAGATGAGAATCATGTATTTTTTGAAATGATGAAAGAAAACAACCCTACCAAAGATGAAATTGCATAGTTATAACAGAGTATGAGTTCCTACTGCCCAAAAGGAGAGTACAATAAAAAATCAATGAGGAAGGGACATTTGAAGTTGTTTATTCCCGTTGCTCTTCTTGATTCCATGCAGAGGTGCCTCTCTCTACTGATGTCAGTTCTGCCTGACCCCAAAGCATCTGCAGAAAGATTTACATGTTGGATGAGCTGACTGAAACCATCGCTTGCTGAGTAGTTCTGAGATTGTCAAACCATCTTTTCCTAAAATATTTTGAAGATGCATGTTTGATTTAGGTTGAGTCCAGAAAAAAAATCCATATTTCTGGGCTTTTAGCTTCCTTCCCTATTAACCTTTCCTTTTAATCAGAAGAGGAACACAGCCGTTTGGAAAGGTGGCCCAGAAGTTTCTTCCTTTTCATTTGTCTTAACAACAACAGCACCGTCATGGTTTTCTGGCCCCCTTTCAGCCTTCCCCTGCTTTGTCTTTTCCTCTGATCTGGTGACTCATGCACAACCACACCTGTGACGTTCATTTATTGGCTGACAAAACGATGTAATGTGTGGATGAGATAATTTGCCTTCATATATTTTTCAAGCGATTGCTCTCAGTAGTATCAGTTTGCTTAAAGACTGGTAGAAAATTCGCCCTATCGCCTTCTCTCCTTTTGTCCCCTCGTATGTCACCTCAGGAAACTCCTTCAACCTCTTTTCATTGTGTCGATTCTTCAGTTCCATGCAATAGTGTGCCTTACACTGACTTCCAGAATCTATTTTTAAACTGCATATAGATCATCTTACTAAATCTCTCTCTTATTGAGAATAGTTTTTTTCCTGCATTTTAATCTTGCTGCCAAGGCAATGTGGAGACAGATTAAGTAATAAATTCTTGGAACGAATAGGACTTTGGAACCAGTGTGTCCTTTGGCTATATCTTATTCAGTGTCCTGATTGCATGATGCAAATGCACAATATGGATGGCATTCTCTATCAGCAGATGTCCTTATTAAGTTCTCTTGTGGCCTTCTGAGATAATCCCACCATGTGATTCTTTATTTTACTTTATTATGAAGAATACATGTTGATTGGGACATACATCAATTTGTAATGCTTCCAGGCACAAGTAACACTACTTGATGAACAGAGGTATAACACAAGCATATTTATCATTTGTGCCTAAGTGTTCAGAGGTGGTAGAATCACAGTTAGACCTGGCTCATTGAGTCAAGAGCTCAACAACTTATTGTTCATGTTTTGTCTTTCCTGTTTCCCTAAGGCCTGGCATGTTGCCCTTTCTTTTCATGCCTCTTGCCCCAAATTATAGGGTAGTAGCTTTAGGAATCATGCTTATGTGAAAGAAAAGATAGTAATAAGAAGCTAACATTAGTACTTTCTCCTCCACGGGCTATCCCCTTCTCAGAAAGCAAACCTCAGTTTCGCTGCAGAGAAAAATCTCCAACCCCAAATGTCTCCTTCCATCATCTGGGTCACAATATCACGTGGCCTGTGCTGTCTTCAAGATCAGCCTTTGTGGTGGGAGGAACATAAGAGAAAAAATGGTCCAGCATGGCTTCTGATAGACTGATCACTCGTGTCTGTCAGACAACACCTGAAACATCTGTGGACCTATATCTGTATTTTCATATCCATTAAGGAAGTGTAGCTCAAGGAACATGGGTGACACTGCCTGGGTTCAATTCAAATTTCCATTTCTAGCTTTTTATTGTGGCTTCTCTGCCTGTGTTCCCTACCTAAAACAGGAGCAGTAATGTTACAAGTTGTATAGGATTGGTACGAATAACCTAAAGCCAGCACGTGGACATGCAATACACAGCACTCTCATCAACCAGCACTCTGCACCCTCACCTGTTACTCACCAAACCCAGAGCAAATTTAATGGGAAAGGTAGCACTTCACAGTGATTAACTGAAACTGACGTGTACAGAACTGATTAGAAAAATCCTTGAAAGATGTGTAATCTTAACGAGATTTGCCTGACTTCGTTTAGACATTTTATAGCTGACATGTTCTTTTGTTTAGAAATAAAACACTTTGCCTTCTGTAAATTGTTCATGTGTCAAAGCAGCATGATGGAAGATTTATTTTGACTAGAATGTATCAAATCAAGAATGGGAAACTTTTTTCTTTAATTTGAAGTGTGTACACACATGCACACACACGCACACGCACATATACATACTCACACAAAACACTGTATAAGTGACTTGGATAGAAATGACATCAAAAACAGTACCAGATAGGGCTATGGAGAAGCCTCTGCAGTGTCCTTCTCAACTGTCAGAGCAAAGATACCCAGACACAAGGGACAAAGAGGAGTCAAGACGTTGCTTGAAATCTTGCAGATAATAAATAGTTGATGCTAAAGGACACTCTGTCGAATATGATAAGCATCAGAAAATAATTTGAAGTTCTTCAGACTTTATGTTCCTGGTAACTATTACTCATAGTAGCGTGAGAATGATAAGCAGGTAACCCTAGCAGAAAAGCAGTGCAGGGAAACGCAGAACAGCTTCGGGATTGTGGGGGCTGGAGATGCAGTCACCGTGGAAGGATCCTTCCAGATGAATCTACACAGAGTTACAAAGAGCAGGAAAGGGAGTGAGTAACTATACCCAGACTAGGTTCACACAAGGCCAGGGTCATGTGGGGGAGACTCAAGCGACAAGAGAATGAGCCATAAGAGCCATGCTGTCACTGAAAACCAGAGGACATGATGCCCCTGGCTTAGACCCTTTTGTGCCTGGATGTTCAGGATGTGTGTTCTCCCTGGTAACCAGTCACTCCCTGTCATGCCAGTATTACAGGGCAAACAGTAACTAAAATGATAACTTCTCATGTGAATCACTGAATCAATCTTCTGTAACTATTGCCTTTCATGTGCCCAGTAAATACCCAAGAAATTTGTCAGTTTGGGGAATGAAGTCAAGTGCACAATAACCATGTGAGGTCTGCAGGCAGTCAGCATACAAGGTGTGCTGCTCATCTGCTTCTGTAAACAGCTTACTGACTGCCACTCTTCTCTGACTTTGCCCCTAGAAAACCCGCTATGAAATGTACGTCAGCGTTCTCAAAGAAGGAGGAAAGCAGCTCCTGAGTCACGATGAAAACGAGGCTGCTGGTCTGAAGAAATCACACTCAAGTCCTTCACTCAACCCAGATTCATCTCCAATCACTGCCAAGGTCAAGCGTAACGTGTCAGAGAGGAAGGACCACCGACCGGAAACCCCAGGCATTAAGCAAAAAGTTACTTAGAATCCATCTGAGGCCAGGAAGTGCTGGTCATGGAGCAAAATAGAGGTTTTCAAGATCTTTCTGGTAATCCGTGAATATATTAAAAAAAAAAAGTCTGTGACTAAATGGTGCATTAGTAACTTTTTATATTGTACATTTTTGTTAGTTTCTGTACAGATTGTCTTTGCTCTGGATTTCTTTGCTTTGATGATTTTCTGCAATTTGATAACTAATGCACCTTTTTGTGAGGAGTTAGAGGATCATGATTTCAACATGAATTCTGTATCCCTTCTCCTTTGGTTTCCTCTTATTTGCACTCTGCTCAGTTGTTTTATGTATTCTCAAATCAACCATTATACTTTTTTTTAAGGTTAAAAAATTTACTCCATTGTGAAACACTTAACTGGACAAACTTCGTAGTTTAGTAAATTCTAGCCAGAGTTAACATAAGCGTTTATATGTGAAACCTTGCCCGGTCACGGAGGAGGAGCTAAATACTCACACATGTTTAAGTGAGAATCACAATGCTGGGAATCAAGACGTTCCAACATGGTGTAGCCCTGCGTGAACCGTAGCACTTAGTATTGAGTTCTGACCCTGCTGGAGCAGGCACAGGAGGTGTGAAGACCCAGGACTGGAGAGCTTGGGGAACAACAGGAGTTTGCTTGAAGTGTGGATGGCATTCCAGCCAAGCAAGGGTAGGAGGAAGTAGTCACTTTGCCATTGAAGACTGAGGACAGTTGGATTCCAAGTTAATTTTGTTTTCTGAAGGACAGTGGCAATAATTCGCTCCTGGTGTAGCTGCAGCAATAGACATGTGTTTAGTCTGCAGGAAATTGTTACCTCATTCCCACGGGGTCTACACTGGGAATCCATAATCATCTCTGTTGATAACATACTTCCACCCAGGGGTAGATTCTTTTTTATGCTACATATATATAGATAGATAGGCATGAGGTCATCTCCTGATTGTTAGGATTTTGGGGTCTTCCTAACAAAATGTGGAAGATGGAGCTCCTTTTGTTCTTTGCTTAAGCCAAGACAACACAAGAGAGCAAAACTCAGCTGCAGTTAGTCAGCAGTGGATATTGATTCTGAAGACTAAGTCTACAAGTAATAGTTTAAATGGTTGATAATGGGAGAATCTGCTGGTTGCATATGCAGAGTTTCTTAGTTTCTTATCACACTCTCTTTGATAGCCACTGCACTGTGTCACTGTTAAACTTGCTCCTAAAAATTCTTCGTCTGTTTTAAATCATTTTTATGTCCTCAAAATAGTCCTATTCCCTTTACAGTCAAGAGCTGTGTCTATGATGTTCCCTTTGAAATTCAAGGTGATAAACAGAATGATTGCTTCTAGAGGAAGAAAAAGGAGTGGAAATTCAGTCCCCTGTGACTTAGAAGTTTCAGATTTGAAGATTCTGAAACTTCTTGTAACTGAATTCCCCAAAGCTATCATCTGCCCAAACAACACTACTGCAAAATGAGATCATTCTGGAAATTCTTTTTCCTCCCACAGACATTTTCTCTACTTTTGCTTCTTTTTTAAATTGAAGGTACTATGACCAAAGAATCAGCTGCTCTGCATGAATAGCGTGGTCCAAGTGGATTAGAGAAAACCCGCTATAAAACCATGGTATTTCTAGTAATGTGTTTCTATGATACATTTACATTTACTTACATGATTTTTCATTGTTTACTTCCTCTGTTCACAATGTTGGTGCACAGAAAAGAAACACCCCCTCTGAATGGTTGTAGTTGCTTGCTTTGTGGTATTTTACCACACCTTTCAAAAACTTAACTCTTAACCTCTATCTTGTTTAGATAAAGGCAATGTCTAAATTTATGTTTCAAAACTATGAAACACACTAGTTGCCAATGTGGCCTCTACACCTGAATCATTTTGGTAGCTTCTTACCAAATCCAAATTTCCATCAGTCCTGAAATCTGAATTATCAGTGTTTATTTTCTGCTTATTTATATTAGTTGAGGGGAAAGAGAGGTACCTAGACCACATGATCTATGAGGTTTGGTAACTGAAGACAAGTTGACATCCCTGATAGCTTGAATGTGTTTACCCACAAGTGTGTATCTATGTATATAGAACGTTTATGTATATTTTTCTTAGAGTATATAATGCATATTGAATGGTACTTTGCTGCAGTATTCCTGATGTTTAGAGTAGTCTTAAAACACTCGGTTAGCATCAGCACTGCCATAGCACTGTTCCTGTTGTAGGACACACCAGTGTTAGCTTCAGAGACTTCCAGACACACTCATGGATAGTCCAATGACAAGGGTGATTTTGAAGCAGCAGTTAAGATAACTTTAAGGTTCTTTTGTGGCTCAGGATCCCAGATGGCTATCGTGTGATGCTATCCATCTACAGGGGTTGGTTGAAAGCACCTCTTCTCTGAGGCCTCTGGAAGGATGCTGTTTGCTCTCACTGTGTGTCACAGGCCAAGATTTATCCCAGGGCTGGAAACAGTCTCTGATTCAACTGAGTCCTGAGAGTCTGGTCTATAGCCAGCCATTTTTCTGTTATGATCATTTCTTCTCAGTGGTAGCTAGTCAAAAGACATGGAAGGTGTTTCCTTTTGCAGCTATTTTGAGCCTGTTGCACAATTCACGGTACAGAGGAGCTGCCCTCCTCCCTCCCTTCGAAAGGTACTCCTGCCACCCAATCCCACCTCACTCCTCACCCCTACCTCAGAGCCCAGGGGCCTTGGAATCTCTCTCCATGTGGGAAATCATCATTCTTTTTCTGATGCATACTTTCAATGTTAATTTCCAGTGTAGAAAATCTTGAAAAGTCATTGAGATAGTCTTGGTACAAACTGGCCAAGGAAGGGCCCCGTGTAAGAAACCCATGTGTGTTTTGGGGTTTGCCCTCACTTTGCATACTGACTTTTGCATGGAGGTATCAGGGACTTGTCAGCAATCAACCTTAGTTACTAGCATACAGAGTCTTTATTTGCAGACTACAGACATTTGTGAAATACAGTTTTTTTTAACCAGTTACTTAAGTCTTGGCATTGTCTAATTAAACCAAGAAATATTTTGTGCATTTTAATTAATCTCAGTAAAACCAACATGTGGGAGAGTGCTCTGGTAGAAATAGTTCTTAGAGGATATGTGACATTTTTCATAAAGAAGTAGAAGGTAAATAAGGTAGAAGTCATTTTCTCATGCAGAAGTCCTGCACTGTCTGTAAGACCCTAAATGCTTCTCCCACTGACATACTGAGGTCTATATCCTAGACAGACGTGACACAGGAAGTTAATTCTAGAAGAAGAAAATGTGGCTGCCTTTTTAAAGATCAGCCAGGTCTGTATTTTACCAGATGGCCAGATCACTGAACTTCTAAAGTTGGGGGAGAATTTGCATAGCTAACAGGGAAAGAGGACTTTTGCTGCCTAAGTACAAGTACACAGAGTTTTTGGCTGTTTTTGTCCAGTGCTGTCTTTACCCACTGCCCCTCCTATAATCTAAAAGCCCAGAAAGCTGTTCTTAGATAAAGCACAGCCCTGCTTTGCCCTGAGCTACATCTCTTCTCTGCCTTTACACCTAGACACTGACGATAAGCAGAGAACTAAGTCAGCTTCTCCCTTGTCTTCCTGTCAAGCCCTTTTGGGGTTCAGTTGATGGTCCACAGAAATTCAATTCTTTAGCATTTTTCCTGGTAATCATCTCTTATTTCACTCAGTTCACAGCAAGTTTCTTAGGTATGCAGGTTCAAATCTCTCTAATGTTCTTGTGGACATGCTGTAAGTTTTCATCATGTCAGTAGCCACCTTCCTCAGTTTTAGATGAGAATGACCCCTTTTTAAATGACAAAATGTTTTCAGTTGTAAAGCTAGCACTGTAAAAACAAACAAACCAAAAAATAGTGTGTCATCCTAACACTTGTTTTTAAAAAGAGTCTACTTTATGAATGATAGTGCAACTCTGGATCTTAATAATATCTACCTAAAAGATTAGTAGTGTGTTTTGCAGGCCAGTGAGCCTCTGGGTGTACCTTTCTGCAAAGCATTCTGCCCTTTTCATCCAGGCCAGACTGCTGGCTGGAGACATGTCTCTTTCAAGGTCAGCAGATCTCTTTTTCTCTCCACCAGTGTTTTGACATCTTGCACCATCAAATCATCCAGGAATTGTAGAGATAACCACAAAATAATCTTATGATCGATTATTGTTAGAGATACAAAGGTACTTTGTCACTGCTTTTCCTTTCAGATTCCTTTTCTATCTTTTGCACTTAAAAGAAGGACTAATGCCAAGGTCACTTTCCTTTTATACTTATAGTACCCAACCCCAGGCAGGCAGCCTTCTGCTTAGGACGGTAATTGGCCCATTGCATGCAGAGAGAATGTCTTCAGAGAATGTCAACAAGTACTTGAATCTGCATGACAGTTTTTGACTTGAATGCAACAGCAAGGAAATATGGCAAGTTAATTGTATATATAGTAGGTTTTCTTAGGTCTCTTTGGCTCATCCTTTGTAACTTATGTGTGTATTTGTTGTATTGTAGGCTTTTGGAAATATTCGTATAGACAGTATGTCAGATGTCAAAGATAATGCTTTCTGTCATGTGCCAATGTTGTATTTGTGGGTATTTATAGTTGTATGTATGTATGTATGTGCATCACTATGTAGATTGTATATGAGTATATGGTATATGTACATCAAAACTATTTTGTTTTTAATAACCAGTGTGATACGAAAAGCAAGTAAAAACCTCATAGGACTGATTATATAATGCAGTTGTTGAGAGTACATATACTGGTATTGTTGTATTAAATCCAAGTGATATTTTGATTAAATTTTAATAAGAGTTCATGCTAGGAAAGTCCACTTTTGAGCTGTGAATCACCAGGGCAAAAATGACTTTGAACTAAATTGTATGACTCTATTGAAATGTATGGTCTGCAACACCAAGGGGGTAGCTCAATATAATTTGGGAACTAAAAAAAGAAAAGGGGGAAAAAGGCAACCTGGGCAGTTTTAGTAACTTTAGTATTAACAGCACTTAAACTTAAAGTTGAACTGACAATTGTGGACTTATTACAAAATGTGGTGCTTACAGCACACATTCTTTATTGTTGTGATTAGTCCAGAAAATATAGCTTTGAGAAGAATTAAATAAGTACCCATCATATCATTTATGTACCTATGTATATTTTACAGTAGCTCAAACCATTCTCCTGGTGCCGCATCCTTACCCTCTTTAAAGAAATATCACAAATGCTGAAGTATATCAGGGCATCCCAAGATGGGGTACTGTATTCCAGGTTTGCAGTTGCACAAATCAGCAACGAATATCACAGGTAAAAGGACTCCAAGACCAGGTTAAAACTTTATTTAATATTTTTATACTTAGGTCTCTTTTTTCCTGCCTCTCCCCAAAGAAGAGCCACTGGCCTTAGTTGTTTGACTTTATTGCTTATATTATAGAGTGTAAATAGATAACTAGAGATTAAAATTTTATTAACCAGCATGTTTGGTGTATTTAAAGCAGCGACTGAGTGTGTTTTGAGTGTGTGGTTGAGGCAGTGTCTTTGGTTGGAACACACTGCCTCGTGTCTGTGTATCTGATTCAGAGAATTGGAATTGTGGGGTGGGAGTGTAATCTTCAGCCCCAGTCTGCAATAGTGTCTTGGTAGTTACACTTAGTTTTTGTTTTGTTTTTTTTTTTAATTCACTCTACAGCCTCAAACTATTTTTGCAAATATATATATATTTACTAATTTGTTCTTGACGTGCAGGGGACTGGTCCTGTGGCTGATCAGCAGGGTCTGAGTTCTGCAAGAATATTTCTTTCTAGGAATTATTTGTGATTTGTGAAAAAAAAAAACAGACTTTTGATTCAGAAATCATATAAAAAAAAGTAGTGAAAATGAAAGTTTTATTTTGGGCCTTAGTCATTTGAAATGTTTGGATTTTAATATAAAGCCATGGAGGCTGTAAAGCCAAGTAATCATATGACATGGATAATAATATCCACTTTGGACAGAGTATATATGCACGTTGATTTTTTAATGCCATTAAGATGCTTTTTCAAGCTATAGGAACCAGAGTATTTAGACCAAATTGAAGTGGAGGGGATTAGTAGGCTGCCTTCCATTTAGGGTAAGCCATGAATGTGTTCAGTCCTCTGCTCCTGAGAAATTCAGAACCAGTTTCTTAGCCCTTAAGTACCTAGGGAGAAAGCTGATGGGTCTGGACCCACTTCGGCGTCCATTTGCTTGCACACATGCACACAGTGAATGTTTTACGTTATACAAATCAAAGACCTTTAGACACAAAGGGCCGGAGTATTCTAAAGAGATGATGAACTAAGGGGTAGAAACTATATCATGGATGTTTTCTAAAGACCAGGCAGAAATTTGGGCCCTTTTGTCTGACCCTGATGCATTGCAATGTTAACAAAGAAGTAAGGGGATACCTATCATCCATCCTGATGGGCCACAGCTTGAGGGTTCACAAGCAGCAGCTCTCCAACATTCCTCAGTACTTCGGTAGCGTGGGGGAAGATCCAGCACCATTTTCCAAGGTGCCCAAGCCATCTGCTCTGAAGGTCATTCCTTTGATAAAGGATTGCCAATGGACAAGCCAGGAGGCACTTCCGGTAGAAGTGCACACCCACTTCTGAGCTGTACTGGCAAGAGAGCTCATATTGAGGAATGCTGAGTGGTTGAGCACTTTTCTACTAGTGAAGATAGTGAGAAGTGAGAAGAAACCTAGTGACAAGAGCATTTCCCTTTGCAGGGTAGAGAGCTAAGCTCTCACTAATAGTGTTGTAAAATAAGCACCTTAACTTCAATTCTTGAAAAGGTTGGTTAACGGAGAGAATTGTGGAATTTCACCTAATATTTCCCCTTAGTCTGCAAGTCTTCAGGCACTTGTTTATGAGAGTCCCAGCCACAAGGCTCAGTGAAGGACCATGGTGCAGGTCTGAGGCTCACTGCTGTGAACCCTGAATAGCAGGGCACACAAAGGGAGATAATGCCTCCTCTCTGGAGCTTCTCCCCTGGCCTTCCACTCCACTTGGGCTTCTACCAAGCAGCACATCCTGGGTTTCACATGCTTTAGTAATCCAGCTGTCCCAATGGGTAGACCCTGCTGAGGCAAGACACCAACTCTGAGCGTGACTGAGTCACTCGGGGTGGCACATGATAAAGGTAATGAAAAAAATCTTCTGCCTGTAGCAAAGATCATGTATTTTGCCTTTGCAAGAAATAAACCAGCACCCTGAGCTCCAGCCAGCGTTGGATGATATCTTTGCCTTTGCCCCCAGATTTCCAGAAATGAACAGTGTTTCATTTCTGTGGGAAGGGCAGGGTCACAAAACATGAACGTGCTCACCTATTCTGTTCTGTCCAGATGAGAGCTGTTGGGTAAAGGCCTACATGCCTCCCTGCACCCTCTTCTACCTCAAGTTTCAGGAGCCCATTTCTAGGACAGAAATTTACACAAGTGGAGGACACATACTGTCAGCCTTGGTTACTCTGGGACATGCTGAAGGGTGGTAATTTGTATCTTTTAATATAAAACAAGACTTTAACTTTTCCGACCTATTAGCTGGATTATAATTCACTGTGGCTCAAACTAATTGACAGTGTGGAACATTTCTTTACCTTCTGAGTTTTCTCCACCAATCGTTTCAGTTTCATTGCAGTTCTGGTGCCCTGGTGCCATATGTCCCCTGCAAATTGTGAAAGTAATTAGTGGCAAAATAGCAGCCTAATCCTATTTAGTGGCCAAACTGTCAGCATTAGCAGACTTGGGTAAGCTAAGCTTAGTGGTACCTTATTATGTATTAGAAACCTGTTCCTCATAATCACCTACCAGATTCAAGAAATGCCATCTAGAAAACGGTGGCATTTATGGTGGTCCTTTTTTGAATGGAACAGTAATTTATGTGGATATTGTTAAAGTGTTTAAAGACTATTTTGAAAATTAAGTTTACATTTTACAATTGCTTTATTTTTATTAAAATATCTGTATATAAATATTACCCTATTTCACTGTTATTAAAGTAAACTTAACCCTTGTAGACAAGTGGGTCACCTGATATGTATAGAAGCTGTGATATATACAGTACATTTCTCTATTATGTAAATGTTCATGAATATAACTGTTCCTGTGTTTTTATAAGTTGGGGATATTTTGTTGTTTCATGACAACAAAAATTATTGCATTTAAAATGGTTTTTATGTACTAGAAATCATGCAAAATAGTGAAGGAATTAATATGTATATGGTGTATGTTAAATGTACAAACTTTAGAAGGAAATAAATCCAACAAATTTCAATCATTTGGGGGAATGTTTGTCTTTGCTTATTTAAGCAACTAGAATAGTATCTTAGAAATAAATGGCACAATACCCTAACCCCTCTCCATCAAAAGGCAACCAGGAGAACCAGGATGAAAGATGGCCATGGTGACTGACTGGGGTGGAAAGAAAGTTGAATTGTGAATGCTGATTGACCTCTGTGATCTTCTGTGAAAATCTTTGTGTGCAAATATATATATATATTCTATCGGAGACTTCAGAGGCTCATTGTCTTAATGGAGGAGAGGGAGGCTTTGAGCATAGAAGGAACAAATGAACTTTTTGAAGCAATTTCAAGAATCATTTGCTTTCCCATTTACTTCTCATCAAAGCAAGGGGACCATGGAATTAATTATCATCCTACAGTGCAAACGCTGACCTCCAAATCACTGCTTTATTGTGGCTAGTGTTGTACCTTCGTGTTCTCTTAACGGAACCTAATGTTAAATTAAGATCTGTTGACTTGGAAAATGAAAAATAAAATTCCACCCAAACTTCTGAATATTGGAGGAGATGTCTTATGTTTGAGAAACTGGGGTTTGGTTGCTGTTTGTTTGTCTATCTGTTGATGTTGAGGATTGAATTCAGGCTTACACATGCTAGGGAAGCGCCCTACCACCAAGTTGTCCCCCGTCCCCCCCCAGTCCTGGGCTTTATGAAATGTATTTAAATCTAAACCTCTTAAGTCTAAATGAAGGTGGTGCCTGGCAGAAACCAAAATTGCTATGGTATATAAACCTGAGAAATAAAAGTTTTGTGGGATGTAAGAAGATTTAAACCCTTCAACACCCCTTGGCTTCTGTTTAAACTCTGTTTAAGATGAGAAATCCAAGCATGAATCCCTCATTGCCCAGCTGCCTGTCCTCTAAGGTGAGTTTGGTGTACTGGTGTGCTGTGTTGCACAACTAATCATATTAAAATCAGAGGAACCATAGAGATCGGTTTTAAAAACAAACACTCCTAAGAGGAAACTGAAACTTATGGACAATAAGACATTATAAGGAAGCAACTAGCAAGGCACATTGTGTCATCGCTAGATTGTCTTTTCAACAGCACTGAGAGATTCACCACCGAGACTGTCCAGTCACTGTTATGTGGTGCTGAAAATCTGTTTCAAGCAAGAATAAAATCAACTTGGTTGAGAACAAAGAAAATAACATTTATTTTAGGATTGTTATCCAGATCCAGGAAAAAAAATAGATTTAAGTAGTTTTGAAAATGTGCTTCAAGGTTTTACAAAATGACAGCTGTATTTATAGCTTTAAACCACAAAGGGCTTGGAAATTATATCGCTTGTCAGGGTCAGCTTGTATCTGGAGAGAGGGTGTGTCTACCTCATCCACCAGTGTCTGAGATCTGATTAACAGCACCATCCTAACTCCATTTTAAGGACTCCCAAACTGTGCTAATCCTTTATTATTTTTTCCTGTCAGGAGTAAACAACAGAATATATTTGAGAGGCATACAGAAAGAAGAGTGAGTTTTCTATACTGTGGGTAGGGGGCTGGATGTTAATTCTGAGCATTTTTTAAAGAGTGATTAAGAAGGGGAACAGCAATTATTGGAAGCCAGCAAAAGTTTCTAAGAATAAACCTATTTCAGACACCCATTTGATTCCTATTTTAAAAGACTAATGAGTAGATTAAGCAAATGCAGTAGAAAAGGTAAATTGGCCTTAACAAGGGACTCATCCTGGTCTTTATCCAGTTCTTGTGGGCAAAATGAAGAGAAGTATGATACTTATGTTAGTACAGTTGGGAAGCATGTCGGCACTTGGACAGCACTAATTAAAGGATGCACACCAACTTGGAAGAGCATTTCTAGTGTCCTACTGCAAAGCTTTCCTTTGTCCCCATCTGTTTAACATTTTAATTAATAATGACAGAAGCTACAGAAGAAGAGTTTATGAAAAATGGGTGTCACAAAGCTGGGAGAGGATGATGATACTAAATGGCAGAATCAGAATTCAAACAGTATTTCATCAGACAGAAAAATGGAGCAGGTTAACAATGTGAAATGCAAGAGGTTGTAATATGTTACACTTTAGATTAAAAAACGGTTGCACAAGGTCAAAAAAGGACCTTGAGTTGTATAGTACAGCAAGCATATGGGAAAGAAAGCCTCCAACTTCACAGCAAACTCAGTGAAAGTCAACAGGATGACATAGTCACCAAAAGTGCTGATTCATCTCAGGCTGCATTCACATATGTTTAGTTTCTGAAGCAAGGACAGTGTTTTGCACCATGCAATACCAGCGGAATGAACCCTGGAGAAGTTACTGCTTGTCATGTTCACAAACCAGAGTGTGCAGAAGCAGCTGCCAGGATGGTAACGTGTAAATGGTGAAATAAAAGGAACATGGGAAATGTATGAACCGGCCAGGGGTCAGTCCACAATGGAACTAGGAAAGGCTGGTTTTAGATGTTTAAATCTGCTTTACTTGGGAGAGAAATTAAAATTGTCCTGTGTCAATGTAACAAAGTTTAACTCATATTGTTTAGTAGAATCTACAAGAAATTAAAGCAGCTTTAAGGGAAGTTTTCCAGTATTAAAGGTCCTGGGTAGCTGAATAGGTGTCATGATGATTGATAATAGTGAATGTACTTACCAAGAAGTTATATACCTGGCCCTACACTAAACACTGAGCATGGATTCTATTTTTACACAATTTTTTTTGCATAATTCCATGATGCAGTCCTATTTTCTCAAATTTAGAGTTGAAGGAAAGCTCTCAGCAGCCTATCTGTTGTCAGATGTTCTGTTGCACAGCTTTTATTTGGAGCTACAGAAGTCAGAGCTTTGACACTACCTTTCTTGTAAGCCTAAGGTCTGAGGATCAGTGATTCCATTCAAGGTATATTAGGCACTTTCCCATTACTGGGATAAAATACAAGATACCTGGAACTTGAAGGAGAAGGGATTTATGTTGGTTCAATTTCAGTGGATTCAGGTCCATTGTTGGCAGGCAATGAGGCCGCAACTACATGGTAGAAGAGTGGGGTGGAGAAAAGCTACACATTCCTTGGCAGCCAGCAAGCAGCAATGGGAGAACAGGGGACAAATCCAAAAATGAGTACAGCACCCCCATGATTCAATCACTTTCCAAACACATGAGACTTTTGGGGGACATTTTTGGTTCTAAAGCATAAGAACAGAAATAAGAATATAGATGTGTGTTGTTCAGGAGGAACTCCTGCAGTAAGAATAACTCCTTTTACTCCACTTTAGAGTCATATGTGTTAAAAAAAAAAAAAAAGCACAAGTACAGTAAGTTCCTGGGTTGCAACCAAGAAATTATGAAGTGCGTCTAAGGTGCTGGGAATCTGAAAAGGCTTCCCCTGTGATTGTAATGTGCAGCCAGGCTCACAAATCACTTGCTTGAAGCCTGGCAACTTAATTTGCTCCTGTCAAATATCCTAGGAGCTGGTGGGCAAAGGAGACTCTTAGACCCCTTCTCAGACACAGTAAGCCTTTAGATTCTGCTTGGTACCAAAATCCCTGGGTTGTTTGTAAGCATCAAAGTCCGAGAAGTGCAGCTTTGGTGCTGTTCTTGGAAGGTGGTCCCTGAAGCAGCAGAACTAACATCTCCTGAGATCTCCTTAGAAATGCAGTGTGGTGCCCTGCCCTAGACCTACTGAATCAAATTCTGGGAGTGGGACCCAGCCATCTGTGCCGGCACTACCATCTAATACCGATGTCTGTGCAGTTTCGAGCTAGTGCTTGGGGGTAACTCACATGGCTGTGGAATCCCTTATGCCCACAAAGGGAAAGTAGGTGTCTCCTGTCATTTCTGTGCCAGATGCATTGCCACCCACTGCAACTGTCCTAGTGAGAAAGTGAGACCTGATCATCACCACAGTGCAATGAAATGTAACCATGACAGTTTTGCTAAGGTAAGCAGAGGCAGAAGTGAAGGGAAAAGTCCCAGCTCACCCTTTCTTTGTGTGTGTGTGTGTGTGTGTGTGTGTGTGTGTGTGTGTGTGTGTGAGACTAAAGATCAAGACAGGATCATTCTAAGTCATTAAATTGTTCAGGCTCAGCTTTAACGTGCAATCTTCCTGCTTTAGCCTCTCAAGGAGCTAGGATGACGGGTATGGGTTACTACATCCCCTCTCAAGTCACCCGTAGGCACTTGGCTCAGGCTGGTCCCCCGGAAATGACTCCTTCCTCTCAATCCAACTTCCCACCTTTGTCTACAGGACAAACTGCTCCACTTTATTTAGGCAACCTTTCCTAACTGCCTAGGGTAAACACACAGTGTGCCTCATCTAGCCCTACTGCTAAAAAGTACAAGAGACATTCATGGCTTTTGAGAGTGTATCTACGGTACTCTTATCCAGTGTGCTCACAGTAGTAATATGGGGGTAAAATACAGTCTGCCATACTACACTTGAATTTCAGATAAAATAATGATTTTAGTATGTTTCTGATATAGTATATGGAGCAAATTTTAACTGAAAACAGTATTATTTATCTGAAATTTAAATGTAATTAAACATCCATGTTTGTCTGGCTGGCCTTTTTGTAGGCTGGACTAGGATAGCATTTTCTCATGAATTTACCCTTTCTCAGTCAGTGCCAATACTGTCAATACCTTTGAGTTAATCAGACTTATGGAAGCTTGTTCAGCTTGTATTGAGTTCTTATTCAAACTCAAAGGACTAAATTCCAATAATAAAAATAAAACCTTCCTGTGGCCTTAAATACAGTTGTGACAAGTATGTTGTCTTTTAAGCAGATCTACAGAGAAAGTGAAATTATAATTTGAATTTTACTTAGCTCCTCGAGGACACAAACTGTATTGTGTTCAACTTAGTGTAGGTACTTGGTTATAAACAAGGTACCCCAAGTAGTTATTCAATAACTATGTGTTGGATGCAATAAAAACAAGAGGCTTTGGTGATGCTAGGCTGTGTCCTTTCACCAAGACCATTTGCAGGTTTTTTCCCTAGTGCAGAAGTCACCTTGCATATTAATTAAAGGGTGTTGGGCCATGGCAGCCTTGACCTGGGCTGAGCCTCTCCTCTTAGTACGCTGCTGTCAAGAATGTTAACATGCAACTTTCTTTCCTTTAGAATAGACTGGAATGTAATCATGAGAACCAAAGCCTTTTTTATCTTCCAAGTTGAATTGTGTTCTTGTTCAGTATTTCCAGGCCCATAATGTGTTCTTTTAGTACATTCAGTTATTTGCTTTATTTTGAAACATTTATTTGTGATGTAACTTTGTTAATGCTGCACTTTTTCCATTTTCTGTAATTTCAATTATATGTATGTTGGATCTTCTTTGCCATATTGTATAGATACACTCTCACTCTCTTTCCAATTCTTTTGCCTCTTTATTTCTTTGCCTGTGTTTGTTCCTCTCTTTAGTGTTCCTTTATTTCAGTCAGTATTTATTTTCCTTGTACCTCTTAAAATCTGAGCTTAACTTTTGAGGTTATTTTTAATATGTTTCCTGAGTTTGGTAAACTTATAACTTCTTGTTTTGTTTTGTGTAGTT